ACGCTAAAGATCGTCATTCAATTGAGACTTTGGCGCATTTCGCCGAACATAACTGATTAGAAATTACGGTAAAAACAGAAACGATTGAATGTAAATCAGTTTATATACATTCACATTACCTTATTATATTCGTTGCGACCCATTTCTGTCAATTTCTAGGTCCCATAACTATTAGCGATTTAGCTCCTTTAACGTTTTTTATAGTTACTGCTGATGTATTAATGTTATAGTAAATCAATGTCCGAATATAGGTATTTCTTATTGCAACAAATTTCCCCCGTTTGATAAGCTAATCCCAATTGACGTTTGGTGTGTGATTGATGCAATTTGAGAACATTATTGATAAAACTGCTATTTACTCTCAAAAGTGACCAAGTACGAAATACACTAAAATGAACACATTGCATGTATAAACTAGGATGATAATTAACAATTAATTTATTTCTTACAGGTTTTGGGGATATACGGTAACTCGAATGATTTAGTATTTTAGATAATATTATTCACGGGGATATTAACGCTCAGAAATTTGCTTCCTAAACATTTTTTGTGTGGTTTTTATTTTCAAAATAATGGAATATTGAATGATTAAGTATTTTAGATAATATTTTTCATCCATTTCGGGGTCCTCGAGGATGCGTCGTATTTCGACGTCTAATTCAGAAACTTTTCTCACAGAGGGTGGCTGTAATATCTGGGGTTTAGGTGTTTGCAAATTTTCCAGCAAACTCTCGGGTACTAGAGCCATCTTTTTAGTAAATTCCATTACAACCCGAATATTTTAGGTACCACACTCCCTAGAATCCCTACCAGAGGTGCTAGCAAGCTACCAAGAAATCCACCCCTCTGCAGGATTTTTTTCTTCTGTTTCAGGGCGACTTTACGGTCCGCTAAATGTCTTAGACTACGTTTGTGTTTCGACAATCGTTTCTTGTGGTATGCCGAGAGTCGAACTCTCCCTTTCAAGATGTTAAGACAACACTCACACAATGCGTCAATGACTGGTTTACTTGCGTTTTTAATAATATGTATTCGCTGTCTTGGTTTGGCCCGCTTGAGTGCTTGTAATAGCTTGGCGTGACGATCTAGACCATACATTATCTATTTTCGGACAACTGTGTGTAGGTACAGTCGAAAATCAATTGCTTTTATACCTTTGGTACGTACACCGTGGGGTTATCCCTAGGGAAAATACTACTCCGAAGTCTCAAAAGGTCGGGGGTTGTACTCTTCAAATCGAGAAATAAATACGAATAGGGTTTCCTTGTAGCGTCCTCGTAACTTTCACGAACAAAATTAGTTTTCCCAGGGTACATCTGCTTGGCTAATTGCGTTATAGCAGACATGTCTCGAGGGTTCTTAAATATAATCATGTAATGGACATTGAGACTGATCGTCCTGTGATGTTTACCTTTATGAAACAGATTTTGAACAATATAAATGACGGAAGTATTTTCGTGGTGACTTCCGCGGGTAAAGAGTTTTGATACTTTGTCCGTTGTCTCGGCCATCAAATCATCAATGATCAATAGTGTTCTTTCCTTGGGGTTTAGACTAGCGGATAACCCTTCGACAAATTCTACGATACCCGCTAATTCTTCGTACAAAGGTTGCCAAACACCGTAACACCACACGATACGATCTATGGGTTGATCGACAACTTGTGTTAGTTCTAGAATCAAGCGCCTGACCAATTGACTCTTACCCGATTGTGTGGGCCCTGATATCATACATGTAAATGGGGTCTTTAGCCTTACATCCATTTCGTTAGCCGGGGTAAAAATAACTAATTCCATTTAAAAATGTTTAATCTTTTATTATACAAAGTACAAATGTAATACATATAGAAAATGAAAATTATAATCATAAAAAAAAAAAAAAAGTTATTTAGTCAACGTGTGAACACATTCTAGGATTTGAGGTTTCCAATACAACGTTGCGTGTAGAAACAACTCTTCGCTCTGATCGCGAATCTCTGGGACGAATCGTGCTATCTGTAAAAAACGATCTTTGTTCAACTCTAGAAAACAGGATTCGAAGTACAAGTCCCCAAAGTTGATTTCATCGAACCAATAGTCGATCCCCAGGCATGTATGTTCAAGCTGCCCTCCACGACCGTTGAGACAACCTTCACAGCGACCGGTTACACTTTTTGAAATCTCCGTGTTGATCATGTCTCCCAATATTTGCACAACTAACGTACGTATATTTTCGGCAGGACAGTAATGATCGTCATTGACATGCATAGGTTTTGAGCACATGGTGCACGGTACGAGGTGTGTAACGTGTTCCTCCGCATCTACAAGATCCTCGTGGAAAATGAGTTGATTTTCGGCGTAGACCCCTTCTACGCGTACTTCTGTGCTGTAGCAATCAGGCTGGTCCCATCCTTCATTGTTTGCTGCAGAAACACATTCCTCTGGAGTATTGTGCCACGTCTGTCCAGATTTTAACAAACTCCAATCCTTTACCCCGAGACCCGACTTGGCAGGCGAACAACCATACACATGATAACGACCGCGCTTGAACGATCTTGTAACTCGAGACACGCCTGTTAGGTCGGAAAAGGTTTTTTCGGGTATCACCAATTGTCTACCATTTTTTCTCTCCAGAACCATTTGGCGGGCGGTTCCCAGTTCACAGCTTAACTCACTGTTGATGGCAAATTTGGTAGGTTTTGTACAGGATAAATATCTTTTGAAACGATCAACAACCCGACTCCATTCTTTTAATGTCATCTTAAAAACCATTTTACGCTTCAACCCTAAATAACCAGCCTTCAGTAATATTTCAGGGGTTGTATTATCATTGTCCCCTAAACTCAATGTCAAACCGACTGAAACATCTGATATCTTGGGTGAAGCCATGTTGTTTCGTATGATAACTCAATAGTTAGGCATCTATTTATATATATATATACAACTCGTTATATTATTGGTTCGCACAGACCGACCAATAAAAAATACGTTGGACAGAAATTATACACAAATCTCCGTCTTTGCTAAGCCTACTACACCTAGGGGTGGTTCCTCACCCGTAAAATTATTTTCACACAACTCTTTGAAGCTAACTTTCAATGCCTCCCATTGTTTCACGTTTAAATGAACACCCTTTCGGGTAGGTTTTGGCATTCGTTCCTCTTCACACCACCAAAATTTACGAATGTTGACTCCAGGGTATTTGTTGTCGATCGTTACGTACACGTCATTACCAATAGGCACTGATTTCTTTACAATGTTTTTTTGTAAATACTCATCTATCTCTGAGGCAGTGTTCATCAATGCCTGCCATTGCCGCTCGAAAAACATGATACCATTGGGTGTTGGATATCTATCACTCTTAAAACCGTAACCATACAGTCTGATGTGATAACACACATCTTCTTGCCAAATACATTTTACAACCAAATAATCATTTCCAATATCCTTTCGATACAATTCGATACTCATGATGTTAACCTCTTGTTTTCAACTTCATAAAACAATTCTACATTTGAACGTGTAATCACCCCCCTTTTATACCTAGATTTTCGAAACTTAAAACCAAAATTTAACTACACCCTGTCACAAATATGTAGATTAAAACTATTGGCTTAGAAAAAAATCGACAAAATCACCTGTCAAGCTTAATGGCGGAGGTCATTGTCCCTTAATGCAGGTATAACTACGCGTGACGTGAACTCAATGTAACCTCTGCACACCTGCCTATAAAGCGAAATATCTTCCCCTACCCCCCCAATAAACAATTCGTGGACCCCATACCCTCGTTACAAAAGTCAAACACGATCAAAGAATACAACACCTGCATACCTTTTTTATTATTCATAACCTCATTGTTCAGTCAACAATAACCATATTCAAACTATAAATAGAACACCTGTGGAATGCTCTGACGTCAGACCTTAGGAATGTGTGACGTCAGACCTTTGGAATGTCTGGAATTCCAAAATTGCTCCGAAGTGCCCTCTCTACTACTACCGAGCCCTAAAGAAAAGGGCTTATCATCGGAATTTTCAAAAGTGTCGCATGGATAATAATAATAATAATAATAATAATAATATATGCATTTATATCGCGCTGACATTCACAACTGATATTGTACCAACATTAAATATACATTATGCAAAATGGATAATTTGACAATTTCATTCAAATTACTCTTATTGGAAGCGAAGATGTTAGCCTTTGAAGACTTGACAAGACGTGTACTGCAGGTTGTTCGAAGCTCCTATATTTTTAAATTAAATCAAAATTTGACTGAACCGTTCTAATCTATTTAATATCCTTTGCCATCGAGAATTGATTATGGTCTGGATAAGTTAATTAATGTCTAATTAAAAATTAAGATAACATTTCAGGCCTAAAGAAAGACCTGCACTAGTCAGATTTAGCTCTTGCATAGTGTATTTATGAGGGGTGATAGTAACTGAGGAAATTACACTTTTAAATGATGTTAACTATATATACATAAAGAGAAGCATTTTCTCAAATCATAAATGATGACCTAAACAGAAGAGGGATTTTAATAAATATTATAAGTTAAAATATTTATAAATATATGTAAAGGTAACCACAGTTATGCCATCAATAAACCCAGTTGCACTTTAAAACAATAAAATAATTACTCTGCGAGCCATAAGGTAACCAGAAAATAAAGACTCTCCTAGTTATTGAGTCAACTGGCGTGGTTTTGATTCCCCGGTTGTACGTGACAAGGAGTAGGGTCGCCTGTCCAACCTCGTGGGTTTTCTCCGGGTCCTCCGGTTTCCTCCCACTGCTAAAGACCCTACGCGCAAGCTAATTATGGAAATAAAATTGAACTATTATGTTAGTCCCGAAATGACCTGGTGTGTGTCGAGTGGACGTTAAACCCCATTTATATCTCTCTCTCTCTCTCTCTTCCCCCTCTCTCTCTCTCCTAGTCATAAATGGTAACCTGAAAATTAATTAATAAGCAGCAATAAAATCAGGTTTAACGTTTAATTTGATATTCCATTTTAGATCCACCAACCATTCCTGATGACCAAAACGAAGGTAATTAACTGACTTTAACCTGTTATCTATACAAGACATGGGTTCGATACCAGGCTTGTGGGTGTTAAATAGTAAGATGTCGTAATATGTAGCCCTGAGAAGTGGGTCGGTGCTCATCTTTAATTATACAAAACAAATTGTAACATTTGTACATACCTTGGATACAGATTGAATTCGAGCAGTGTAAATAGACATGTGAACTTGGAAATTGCAATGGCGTTTGACGACATGTAATTATTCCTCTCTGGAAATGATTTGTGTTTGCACATTCATATTTTGTGGGTTAGTACCCATCCATACGGTGAGTCTATGAGACAGTCTCAACACAGGTTAGTGCCCATCCATATACGGTAAGTCTATGGGACATTGTCAACACAGGTTAGTACCCATCCATATAGGGTGAGTCTATGAGACAGTCTCAACATGGGTTAGTACTCATACATATACGGTAAGTTTATGAGACAGTCTCAACATGGGTTAGTATTCATCCATATACGGTGAGTCTATGAGACAGTCTCAACATGAGTTAGTACCCATCCATATACGGTAAGTCTATGGGACAGCGCACTCATTCATATACGGTAAGACTATGGGACAGTCTCAACATGGGTTAGTACCCATCCATATACGGTAAGTCTATGGGTAAGTCTCAACATGGGTTAGTACCCATCCATATACGGTAAGTCTATGGGGCAGTTTCAACATAGGTTAGTACTCATCCATATACGGTAAGTCTATGGGACAGTCTCAACATGGTTTAGTACCCATCAATATACGGTAAGTCTATGGGACAGTCTCAACATGTAATTCCTGACATTGTGTATTCATTATCATTATTTACATAACATATATCAATTATATCTTGGCACAATTATTTATCACCCAATAATACATTCTACAGTAGATATCGCTTGTGTGATAATTTTCATAATCTTCTGCGATATCTCCTTAGGAGATTAATTTGATTGGTCAGTTAAAAAGGAACTATTTTTTTATTATTTTCAAAGAAAAGTTAATTCCTTATTAAAAGTACCTTTTTTTTTATTAAAAATGAACTATTTTTATTTATTTGACCTTGATGGAAACACTTCTCAATATAAAGGATTTGTAATGGTTGAATTGCGGTCAAAAAATGATGTATCACTACGCCGTAATGTAATCAAGTTCAGTAAAAGTAAAATCTATTGCAAAGAATTATATTTATTTATTTGTTGACTTGTGTTGATATTTTTGACATCAAAAATGACTCGTAGGAAATTCTCTATATAAACAAAGTGAAACTCGTGAACACAATAGGCGTGAAAAAATGGTTACAGTTTATTCACCCTATTTGTCGCGTTAGCCATATCAATTAGGTGATGTAATTGCAAGTAAAACAGATCATTATTCCATCAAATCGACGTTTATATATTTGTCACAACTCGTTGTATTTTGTCACAAAAATGCAAAAAAAGATAATAATGAGAGACTTTATATTTGTAGATTGCTTTACCTGCAAATTTTGCATCCCAACAATTGCAGTTATAGTGGTTCTGATTGTTCTGGCTATATTATTAATCATACATTTCAGGTTTTCCGGTAAAAATTGGATTACTTAAGATATGGATTTTAATTGAGTATTTAATAAAACTTCAATTTTACAACGTTGTCCGTTTTTTATATATAAATTGCTATTTAAGCGAAAAAAATCATCCAACGAGAGTATCTCATATATTATCTGTCTATTAACCTTTTAGCCCAGCCACATGGTGCATATCTTTAACTGCAGGTGAAAAGCGGAGCATTACATTAGATGTGGCTTTGGGTTGTTTTAATGGTATACTTCTAGCTGCTGTGATAACATGTACTGTTTTTGTTTCTACAGGAATAGGTAAATATCCGTACAGAAAAATTTGACATAGACAAAATATATTTTTATTTTGCGCACTTAAAGACCATATAACATAATTTACCCCGTGTTAGTCGCATTCTTCACAAAACAACACGGTGTCAACCATGTTTGCAGTAACAATAATTGCAAAAATGATTAATATAGCACTTTTCACCATGATGATTCACCCGATTAGATTTTATTACATACTTCGAGAAGGTATTGTTTTATTAATCAACAAACACCTTCTCGAAGTATGTAATAAAATCTAATCGGGTGGATGATTGCCAGATTCATTATTGGTGTATTCATCATGCACGTTATCATCAACAACATCATTATTGGTGTATTCATCACCCATGTTATCACCAGCAACATCATTTTCACACTCATTCGTACGGTTGTTCTTTTGTCATTATTGACTTTTAATTGTTATCGTTTTTACAAAGTGTTATAAAGACTGTGAAGCTTGTTGGAAAGCTGCTATTGGTGTTGATGTTGTAGCGTTCCTGTTGGTGGTTGGTGTTGTAATAGAGCTGATTCGATGTTATCACGCGAAATGCTGTTAATTGCTAACTGACTTTTAATGCATATTTCGCACGACAACAATAGTAACCCTCAGTCTATTATCAATGGCTTTATATAATTTAATTTGTTACCGCATTATGGGCAACATGATACCCAAGTAGATGCGCGTCGTTTAATTATAGCATTACTTTTTTCGTGTGGAATCTTCTATTTTATATTTAACTAAATATTTAGATTTGATATACCTCCTTATTATATATTATATATGCTGAAGACTTTGCAATTTGATTTCAGTTCTGTGAAACGCATTTCCATTGTTCGATTAAATATCATTGGTGCAAATTTGTAACGTGTGTAATACGCTACAGCAGGGTCGCTAAAGCTCGATTTCACTTATTTTAGTTACGGTCAAGTGTTGTTTCATACAGGTTATTGATACAAATATATACAGCTAGGGTATATTGGATATCAGTTAACAAGCCAATTTGAATTTTACGTCATCTTGGTTAGATATAAGTTCGAAAATAATAATATTTTTTTTTTGCAATCCAATTTGCATTAATTTATCGTCATAAATGGTTTGGCTACATTTACGTTAGAAAAAGTATGACCTAAATGTAACCTTAATTTTGTGTCGAGTTTCTAACCATTTTTCTGTTTGGATATTTGTTGATTAAATAAACGTACAAGTGTGTGTGCATTGATAAATAGTTGGAGTTCGAATATAATAATAATGGGTAAATAACATCCAGTTATTGGTTGTTCCATTTACAACAACATATGCGGGATTGTATCCATTGTTTAATTGTTTGGGTATATTTCCAAGACTTTGCTTATCAAAAAAATTGCCTTAGATTTACGTTGAAAAATGATGTTAATTTAACCATAGATTTACATTGATTTTATGTATTTGAACGTGATTGGTTCAAAATGCTCGCTGGTTCCTGTAGTAAGCATTTTGCTCATCGGTTTACGTCAAATGTAAACGTTTTGTTTACCTAAATATTTTGTGAACCCTTTTTACCCGTCTCTGGCTCTTTTCTAATTTCCTTTCTTAAAACAAACCCAAACAATTACTTATTCCTATGAGGGTTGGTTACTCTTCAGCTGCGATCCTAATCCAGTGGACCTGGAATCAAGATTGACAGCTTCAGATGCCTATGAAGAAGGAACTTCATTGCCAGACTGGTTTGAAGTAGAGGAAATAACCCCAACAACTTCAGTTTTAGGCAATGTTGAGGGTCCATTATCATGTTATTTTGCAGTACTTTTTAGTCGAGCACTCCCGCGACTTAAGGAGCCCGAGGACCCTTTATTAAAGATACATTCCGGGGTACAAACTGGATAATTTGATGATATATTTGGACTAAAAACATATTCAAACTAATTAATTTATCATAATTTTGCTTCGTATCCTTCTCAACACATTGCAATTGTCAGGGAATAACCCGGCTATAACAACTCGATCAAAATAGGTCATGTTAGTGTCACGTGACATAACGCGTGCGATGTCGGAAGAGAATTCATTGCATACAAAAGACGATGTTGACTTTATCGTGGACTATTTTTTTACAAATATCGAAGCCTAATTAATTTCTCGGACTATGCACTGCCCGCGTCTTTTTCCGTGATTTTTATCTCAGAAAGTGTTGTACGTCAAACTTTTCATAAAGTTTATCAACATGTACACCAAGCGCTCAATCTCCGCGTGCAACCTTCAACGTCACGCATGCAGACACTCCTAATCGTCGGGCTGTCGATTAGGGAAACCCGTACACTTGTGTGCTGTATACGCTCCATGAGTGTTTTTCAGTTAAACATACATTATGCAAGAGCTAAATCTGTCTATTACAGGTCTTTCTTTAGGCCTGAAATGTTATCTAAATTATTAATTAGACATTAATTAACATATCCAGGCCATAATCAACTCTAGATGGCAGCGCTAGCCTGCGATCTTTAGTGGATTGTAAGCCGATTTACTGCATAACTTTCCTTCTCGATTAAACGATTAAATGGATAATCGAGACTATGCTGTTTATGGTACTGACTTTAGTAATGATGACCAAGGCTTATGGGAATTTCAGTCGCTTAGTTCTCGGTTCATCGTGGATCAATTTGAATGAAATTTTTACCAAATTGCCTTTACATTATCTAGTTTTTAACTATTATAGTGAGAACTGCCAACTCGTTACCGAATCTCCCATAATGTATGTTTAATCCAGTATTTTTCTAGTAAGATTGGATATTTCTACTTTCCATAAACCAAAATTGACATACTTGTATTGGAAATATCCACCCGATAAATACTTTACTAGGAATGTAGCTTTAAGATCTGGTGTGATATATTTTGGCTTTTTCTCTTGATCTAGCTAGGTTACATCTATCGCTTGAACAGATATGGATTTCTTTGTGCCATATTGGATATTCGCGAGAATAATCAAAATGCTTACCCTTGCAATTAACTCAACAAAACTCAGCATGACAGGCAGCGCTCTCGTCGTGGCCATCATAGCTACAATGAGCGCCGGTGTATTTTCCTCTGCAGAAGGCCTTGTTGTGTCCAAATTTCTGACATTTATAGCAGTGAAGAGGATTGGAAATGTAAGAATCAACAGGCGCGTTTCAATATCTTGCCACGATTTGCTTATGTCGGACAGGCCACGACGTTTAATGGGTCGTCTTTGAACTCGATATAAGGATTTCTTATAGCCTAAGGACGGCAGCTATTGATTTTGGTGCTTGTTCCGACTCCTAGGGACAGGGCCACGCACAATTTATCGTATACTGGCCGCAATTCTGAATCGAGCATCTTTAAACTTGGCATATGTATTCCTTATAGCCTAAGGACGGCAACTATTAATGTTGGTGCATGTCCCCACCCCAAAGGCAGAACCACGCCAATTTTTTGTATTTAGAGTCTGAAGGCTACAATTCGGAATGGATTATCTTGGATATACTTATTCCTTATACCCCAAGGAAGGCAACTATTGATTTTGGTAGATGGTCCGCCCCTATTGGGCGGCACCACACCCACTTTTTGTTTAATAGTTTGTACTACAGGTTGCAATTATTAACAGTATGATCCATCATAGGGTTTACCTATTTATAATTGGTCCATGTCCAACCCACAGGGCCAGAGCCACCTCCAACATTTGGGGTTTTTGTCTACAGGCTGGAATTCTGAATCTGATTGGATCATCTTGGAACTTGGCATATTTGTTTCTTATACCGCAAGAATAGCAACTATTTATTTTGGTGCATGTCCCGACACTGAGGGGCGATGTCATAGCCACGTTTTGTATATTTGGCAAAACAACTCCAACTCCTAGCCTTGTTTATTTTAAAAAAAAGTACCATGTGAATCAAAGCAGGAATGTGGACGTATATTGCAGCGATAACGATGCTCTCGTTACACAGTGTAGGGGATGAAGCTAAAGAACCTACAGAAACTACGGAACCTTAAATTAGAAAATTGAATAATTCAGGAACCATGAGAACAGATCACAATGTAAAGCCAATACCAGAAACGTAGAACCCCATGGTTAAGTATAAACTAGACCGTCATTAAGGAACAAGAACGATATAAATATTGTATTAATTGCTGAATGGTTTACTGCGTATTATTACAATATATCAAACACTTGAAATAACCAACTGTAAGTTCAACCCTTAACCCAGGTTAATAAATAAATTAACGAGCCGAGAAATAACAATATTATCTTTGTGTCTGTTCTCGACCAGTCTGTTGTGTGTGTATTGCATTTTTGGGGGGATCACGTGGCTAAGTGGGTAAGACGCTGGCTCGCTAGCCTGGAGGTCGGGTGTTCGATCCCTGCATTGGCCGAGAAAGTTCATCCAGATTTCCCGGCGTGGTTTCCCCTTGTCAGTGATGTAGGACGGAGGGCCTGACAAGGACAGCTGTCTAGTCATTCGGATGGGACAAAAAACCGAGGTCCCGTGTACACATTGGCGTGCACGTAAAAAATCCCTTGGCAGTTGGAATTCAATATAAGAGTAGGCCGTAGCGCCGCTGCTCGGGCAAAATTTCCCTCATAGCACACTGTATGGCGTATGCCCGTCTTCATTAGCCCAGGTGAGGAACAGAACAGTAGGACGTTAAACCCCATTTCATTTCATTTCATTTCATTGTTGCATTTCATATAGATTCCTTTCAATTATACAAAACATACGCTGCATTACACGGGTAATTGAAGGAATGTCATTACTACATTCTCTTGCAATGTTTGACAAACCATTAAGTGTTGTGGTCTTGTTGTGACGTGTCGTCGTAAACAAAGGCAAGTTGGGACGTAGAGTTTAATATTCTGCACATGGACAATAATTGTGCCGCCACCAATTATCTGCAGAACACTCTTATCAACCTGCCCGGGTGGTTGGATGGCTGAATGGTTAGAACGTGCGCACTGTGTCATAAGGTATGTCATTGAGTCAACTGGTGTGGTTTAGATTCCCCGCTTGCACGTGACAAGGAGTAAGGTCGCTTGTCCAACCTCGTTCTCCGGTTTCCTCCCACTGCTAAAGACTCCTACGCGCAACCGAATTATTGAAAAAAAATTGAACCATATGTTAGCCCCAACCTAGTTTCTGTCGAGTGGACGCATTTGACCTATGACGTCAGACATTGATTAATCAATCAGCGTTGACGTTTCTAAAGGTTTACCCACAGTTGAGTGCAGAGCACGCCAGGAACTCGCCATAACATATCGTTTATTGGCTAATTCCTCACATCAACTAGAACGCCTGTTATATAACAACTCGTCTAGATCCTAGTGCTGTGAAGACAAGTAAAGCGAAATTTTGAACAATAAAAAACGAAACGAAACAGGATCTGTGTTTTAATCAGATTGGCTGAAAGTATAAATTATATCTCCCGATACATTGAATAAGATCTATTTATTTAAATTGCACTGCCAAAGGCGAAATATAGTTACGTATTTCAAAAGAAATTTCGAAACTTCCATTTCTTCAACATACAAAGTTTGACATTTCGTATCAGTATATAACTGATTACATATTGGGTAATGATCAAATTGAATAATTATATTTAAATTTGATCAGTTTTCTAACTCTATCTGGATTATCGCCCTTATTGTACGATTTTATTCAAGTAGCTCCTTTTCTTCAATATACCTAGTTTGCATTTCTTAAAGGTGTATGACTTATTATATTTTATGCAATTACATAGCTGAATAAATATCTATCTGTTTCTCAACCGAGGTCCCCTGTATATATTGACACCCACGTAAAAGAACCCTTAGCAATTGGAAATCAATTTAGAGTAGGCATAATTTCCCTCATAGCAAACGGTCATGGCGTATGACCGTCTTCATTTGCCCAGCCGGGGCAGAACGGTGGGACGTTAAACCCAATTTCATTCCATTTTGTGGGATATATACGTGCGTAATGTACCATAATCTTTGACCCTTACCGTCAGAACATGTAGCTGGTGGCTTCTATGCAGCTTTGGTATGTTGTCAAATGTAATTTCCAGAATTTTCATGTTTTCGATAGGTTTTAATAAATTCTTTTAACTCGATTCCGCCTACACTTAATCGATTACCTTATATCAAATATTTGTTTCAAAGTGTACAAGGTTCTGCGTTTTTACGTCACGTCCGAATGACAAGAAGCTTTTCATTGCCCTTTGCATGCCTTGGAAAATGCCAAGGAACTGACATGGCTAAAACCAAGAAGGCATGGGACCCCTCCCCGGGTCACCACTGCACAAAGAAAGACACGGAGGATCATAAAGTTTCAATGGTAATATCCAACTTGTTAATTTTGACTCCAGCTGGAACCATTTCTCTCCCAAAATGTTCCCCGTTGAAGGTCACAGGCTTTAAGAGACCAATTAAAGTCACGTAAAACAACAAAATTATTTTAAAATTTTATTTTAATATATAAACTATAAATCAGTTAAAAATTATAAGTAAGCTAAAGTAGCTGTATATTAATAATTTCATTGTTTACATTGTGTTTTAATTATACTTGTATATAAATTATGTAAACTTGTCTGAACAACAGGATATATCAATCAAAAATATCAAATGATATATTAAATTCTTCAAAAATAATTATTTATAGGTGTATAAAAAACTATTTATTTATATGTGTGTGGAAAAATGTTTATTATTTATAGTTTTATAAAAAAATATAATTATTTATTGTTGTATAAAAATCCTAATTATTTATATTTGCATAAAATAACTAATTATTCATATTTGTATAAAAATTATAATTATTTATTTTTGTTTAAAAAAACTAATTATTTATATTTGTATAAAATACTAATTATCTATAATATTTGTGTAGAAAAAGGTGAATCAGTATGTTCGTTGTTTAGATCGGACATTTGATAGGATCTATCGAGGTTTTAAACTTTGTCAAACAGTTAGTTTCGATCATTCCAGTGTATAGTGTCTCAGCTTCGACTACAGGGGATATCAGTCAGGACAAAATAGCATCCGTGGATGCTTGCATATTAGTTTCACGCGGTGATTAGGAGAAATGCCTTTCTCTCCCACCTAACAATGCATAGTACAGTGTGAAGCTCAAACTTCCTGTGAACCATTCAAGATATACGAGATTCTGCATGTGAACCAGTATGAGAGCTTTGCGCATATTATATTCGTCATAGTTGATGCGCAATCAATATTGACTGGCAGGATCTAGACTAGCCTGTATTGACTCACCTATACATGATTTATTTTTATATATCATAGCACTTTTAGTTATTATGTCCATGTAGTACTTAAAAGAAAACATATTGATAGCAACGTCTAAATAGAAAACGCATTATGTTAGATACATTATGTAAGATTTACATAAAGAACTGACCATTCTTGTATAATAGTTCAAAAAAAGATAATGTAAAAAGAAAATATTGAAAATGTCATTCAAATTACTTCATTCTGAGCCAAGTTATCCATGTTTGTAGTTTTGACGAGATGTGTGCATTGTGGTAACCAGGACGCTGGTATATTCGAGACTTTGCCTCGCTTTCCCATTTGTAAATTAAATTTTTAAATGGTGAACCGTTCTAATCTAGTTGAAATTTCGAGTATCCGATGCCATCGAGAGTTGATTATGGTCTTCTTTTGTTTGTGTAACAAATGTCTAATTAATAGTTTATATAACATTTCAGGCCTAAAAAATGGACCCGCAATAGGCATATATAGCTCTTGCATAATGTAAGTTTAATGAAACTGTATAATAAAAAATATTCAAAAGTTAAGCCTACTTGAAATCACACTGGCTTCTATTGATTTTGTATCTTATTTGTATCCTCTAAAAACGAGGCCTGGACATTAACTAACTTTGGCTTTTGTAAAATATTAATCATGATCTTTATTGACTTGCTGTCACCTGTTGTCTTTTTAATAGAGACTTAATGTAATTAATTAAACAAAAAGCAAAGAAACATAAAACTGTTTATAAATAATACTACTACTAATAATAAACATAGATGATAAATGTGGCACAAAAATGTACTACTAAAACAATTAAAATACACGAACGAAAAACAAATCTACAACATCATAAAGCGGATAAATCAAATAATAATTAATGATTTTAAGATGTACTAATACTAAATGAGTGATAAATACCTCATAATACTTAAATCAGAATTTAGAAATAAAACATTACGATTAAAAACCCCAATACAAGTGAATTAAAAATGAATTAAAAAAACATAATTTTATCAAAGTTGAACTCCTATACTTACAACATAAATTCGCTTTATATCGAAAGATACGGGAAACATTTCAATAACATAATTAGATAATTATTAATGTAAATTTTAAAAAAACTCATTTTAACTGATTTGTGAAATTCCTTGGCAATACCAACAGAAACGATTCTTAAAAATGAATAAAGAATAATAACAAATCGGAATAACTTACAAAATAAGAGTCTCTCTTTATGAAATGATGAACAAAACTTTTTAAAATAAAACCGAAAAAACATAATTAATTTGAATTAATAAACTAATTAATAAAAAATATTCAAAATAACAGAACTATAAAAAAGAATTTAATAAGAAAAGAATCACCATTGTAATAAATAACCTTGATTTAAATGAAATAAAATGGAGTTTAACGTCCTACTGTTCCGTTCCTACTGAGCTAATGAAGACGGGCATACGCCATACAGTTTGCTATGAGGGAAATTTTTCCCGGGCAGCGGCACTATGACCTACTAAATATCGAATTCAAACTGCCAAGGGATATTTTACGTGCACGCTAATTTATACACGGGACCTCGGTTTTTCGTCCCATCCGAACGACTAGACAGCTGTCCTTGTCAGGCCCTCCATCTTGCACCACTGACAAAGGTAAACCACGTCGGAAATCTAGGGTTCGAACACGCGACCTGCTAGCTAGCTAAAACATTAAAACAATTAATTACACTCATTGGAAATATATCTTTTGAAAATATACAAGCAGTACATATCCTATTGAAAATATATCTCTTAAAAATAAATACCGGTAATACAAAAATAATATAACAATTTATCAAAGAGCAGTACCTATTCTCTCCGAAGTATACCGGCGTGCTAAAATATAAAAGCAATATAACAATTATCAACAAGCATTAAGTATCATATTGAAAATATATTTTCAAAAATAAATACCGATAATACAAAAATGATAGAACAATTTATCAAAAAGCAGAACCGAAATATACCGGTATGCTTTGAATATAAAAACAATACAACAATTATCAAAAAGCAGTACATATTCTCTCCGAAATATACATGTATGCTTTTAACATAAAAACAATATAACAATTATCAATAAGCAGCACCTATTCTATTCAAAATATATGTTTTAAATTAAATACCGATATACTTGTCTTATAAAGAATACAATTATCGAAAAGCAGTACCTATTCTCTTCAAAATATTTGTTTTAAATTAAATACCGGTATACTTGTAATATAAAGACTAATATAATAAAAAGCAGTACCAATTCTTCTGGGCATATATCCTTTAACAATCGTAGTTATTATAGCCATCATTCGATAACATTTATTATCATTCAGTTTAAATTACAATACATTATAATATATATATATATTTAATTGATCAATACTGTTAGGAAGACAAATTACTATACACTATTTCGATGTTTGACAGTACATGACTATCAAAATTTTATATCGATGACTTACAATTATTCAAAAATATTTGTATTGTCAATTTCTACTATAAAACTCAAATTGTAATCAGGAATCTGTTGGATATATTAACGCATATCGTCAGTTTAACGTAACACGCATTTCAGCAAACACACACGTGTCAAGCTGTTTTGAAAGCATGTTTTAGCAGAAAAGATATCTCAAAAACTCTGTTTAATATTGTATTCCAAAACAAGATATTTATTATATCCATCTAATGATAGAACAATCTAAGCAAAGGCCTAAAAATATACCAATATATATATTTAATTGATCAATTAATAGTATGCTAAATATGTCATTAACTTTCAGGTGGGTCCTGTCGCGGGGGTAGATAACCCATCTCATCATCATCCTCATCGTCGCTATTCTTTGGAGTAGACTGAGTAGGACCTCGTACCCCAAGAGCAATATCCGCGTAATCTACTCTACCGTTCTTGCTCTTCGTTGGTATCTCTGTTATCTTACTTTTTGGTTTTGGTGTACATCCATCAAAATCCAATTCAACATAGGTTAACTCTTCCACCTCTCTCGCAATCTATTAAAATGACATATAGTTAATAAATATGCTCGGTTAATTCCGTTTTTGGTATGTGTACTTCCGGATATGTTTTAGCGCACTAATCGCAGCACCATTGTCTATAAACCAGACGGCATATAGATTATAATCTAACCGTTTCTCCCTAGAAACCGGATAATATAAGATATATTGTAGCTAATAACTATGTTCGGTACGGTTAGTTCCTATATTGTTCTGTCCACTAACGGTTATTCTTTCAAGGAACTTTTCGCAACACCACTTCCACCAGAGAAACGTATTCAAAGCAAATTTTAAAGTATTCTGGATCCAAACACAGAACCGTTTGTTCTAAACTAGACGGAAAAGATATGAGAATGCACCTATTTCTGTTAAGGATGTGACGAACAAGGACATGGTACCTTGTGTGGTTTGGTTCACCGTGTAGTCATGTACGTAGGAGAATCATAGCGGTTGGTATACCAAAATGTAAACGGAATCCCCTGCCTTGCACACAACCACACCATTTCTTGTAGAATTTTTATATTTATTTCTATTTGCCTTTCACCTTATAAACACTTAATTTCCGTAATCGCGGCTCAAATAATAGAAATAAATCATCTGTAATCACCGCTGACATATTCTCAAATAGTTGCTCCTGTGCCATACTCACCGCAGTGTTTCGTTTGATTAGACCTAATCCCACTTAACACTGCTGTAATGGAAGCAAATTCCTGTTTCAGATTATGACTGGCCAATAGTCTGATTAACAACGAATTACTGCGTACTAATATCATTCGGCTTTAAACAGAGCTCCAATTTGTGCCAAATATGTTTACATAGCGTTACGTCATGACTCACGATTTTTATAACGTCCAATTAACCAGTGCACAGCAGAAAATTGCAGAAAAACTAATTGCGTGACAAACTAAACTATTAAATGGCTACAATGTAAACAATACTGTTTGGAGATGAACACTACTTTCACCGTTTTTAATACCTTAAATCACTGTCCAAAGTTTTTGGGAAGACCCCAGACTAAACAAAGGACTGTCACGTTGTGTACTTTGAATAGATTTGGTTGAACGGGAAAAGTAGACAAACTCCCTCAAAAGCCCAAGTATCGGACGTCAATCCAGCAATGGCCAGAGAGGGATTTCTCGAGCTATTGCTTCAGGAATATGCTCCTGTACATGCCTGGGATATTAAGGAAATACCTATATGGCAGATAAGCGATTTAATCGGGCAACGCTACCACTGGTCATTTCTCACCATAGACCAGAATCTAAAATTGGAAATTTCTCCAAACGATTGTCTACGCCTTCTTCCGGATAACATATTTAACATATTAGACCCATAGTTTACTTACTTGTGACCTGTCTTGATTATTCTGGTCATAGCCAACATTTTCATAGATACTTCCTATAACAAAAGAAATAACAGACAGCTTTATGTATAACATTCACTAGGTTTATTAACTGCAACGTTATTAACTGCAACTCTCACCGTTATCCTCATTGAAACGTTGCAGTTAATAAACCTAGTGAATGTTATCCATAAAGGTGTTTGTTATTATATATCATTTTCTCTAAATGCCATTCAAAGATACTATACGTCATAACAAAAGGAACTATATTAAAATAGGTTAAAGATGTTATAACTTATGCATAGATATAGCAAGACCAATTCGTTAAATACTTTGCGATAACTCTTTATCAGTTAATCCCCTCAAACTGTTATCGCTTGGTTTGAATTAAAGGTATTATAACATAATATATCAAATTGTATATTTAATTAAACCGATAATTAAAACTAAAGATATACCAAGCCCCTTGAAACCCATTAACATTTAATTTATATTTTAAAAATGTCATATACATGCCTGTTGTTAATCCTTCTTGTTGGTTATCTGAGTTCCTATAATATACAATTTATTATATGTCAGTAATATAAGGCCATAATAAAATTTACAAACTTGTTCTATAAATGTGTTATTATGAATAACATTCTGTACGGATATTACAACTGTATATAAATATTTCATTCAGCACAGAACATATATCAAACGAGTTAGAAATATTAGCAAATCTGACAGTTATTTTTTTTTTTAACAAAGAGACATATCGAAATTTAAAAACCTTACTTTGCAGATCTTCTGTCACCTAAAACAAATAAAACGATTTAAATAATTAGGTTACTTGGGGACAACAACGCTGACTAAACTAAAACAGCAAGAACAGTAGTCAAAAATTCACAACAGAACAAAATGCGACAGTTGCAGCTCGCCTCTGGAATCAGTAGCCAGTAAACATCAAAGAATCTCAAACTTTCACAATATTTAAGTTACAGCTAAAACCTCATTTGTTTAAAATCTCGATTGCTTCAAATGTTGTGCTTTGGGCATACGTAAAAAGATGGATTATTGAACGCAATATAATTATTATTATGATTAATATCAGTGTTACTGTTGGTTTATCATTGATAACATGGCATATACAGTTAGGGCATAAAGAGAGGGGTTATCACTTTCACTTTCATTTTGAACAATATCTGATTCATTGATCAATGTAAAGTATGCGTATGTTAAAACATTTGATTTTTCGCCAAAATGGTACCACAGACGGGAAGATATCGCCCATGTCGCGTTATGGAACGATAAATGGACATGCATTTCATATATCTGAAATAATTGTTGTTCACAATATAGCGACTTGGTGATCGATCAAATGTATTAATGGGACTAACCTTGAATAGCCCTTTGTCTTCGTCGTCTAATAAATATAATAACAATAATAACTGTTATTATAATAACCAATATAACAATAACAACTCCTACAATCAGTCCAACATTAGACTCACTATGATCTTCTTCAAAATAAAAAAACCCAACAATATAATATTCCACATAGAGAGGTTAAAGTCAAGGGAATTAAACTCACAAAGGAACCCCTTCAAAATTCTGCCGTTAGTTATACTATTTCAAGGGGGTAAAGTCAATAGGATTCTCTACAAAATAGAATAAAGACAACAACATATTCATGTTATACCATTTCAAGAGGATAAAGTCAAGAGGACTAGATAGATTCACTAGGATCCCCTTCAAAAGTCCAACTACCGAGTTGGTAGTATTATCCCGAAAATCATAAGTTACTTGCCGACTCGAGCTTTACTTTCAATTGTGGTCTCGGGGCAGCCCCAGTGTTGTCACCAACCCCAAACCTACCAACAAACAAAAGGAATTGAGAAATGATCTCAAGGCCGAGTTGAGAACTTCACTCCAGGCAACATTTAAAACGCAATACGTATTTATAAAATAATATTTTTTGGTTTTGGAGGAAGGCGATGCACTAATCTTAACCGGATTTACCTGGTGCTGCAGAAGTTTTTAACGCTTGGGTAGTCACCAGGTGAACTGGTTTTGATGAGCCAAACCTGTTACTAGCAGTTACTCTCACAAAGTACTGGGTGTCTGGGTTGAGGTTTTCTATACAGCCGTTTAAAACATCGCCTTCGTTAGTTAGCTTTACTGTTGTTGCGTTCATCCAAGTTTTGTTGTCGGCAGAATATTCAAAAATAAACGTCTGGCTATCTCCACCATCAAAACCTGGTTTTAGCTTAATACAGATCGAACTGTGAGATAAACTGTCCAATATAAATTCCCTGGGTACATCTGGTTCAGCTAGAGAATAAAATCAACAAAACAGTTTATATTAAATTTACGTAGATGCAAAATGGCCATGCTTTGACTATATAATCAATCTGTTTTGGAAATCTATTTAGTGACAAATAGATGGAATATCAGCCCAATGTCAACAGTTTAACCCATATAGGTTGACACAAGACTGGATTGTCCACAGGACACATCTGGTTTAAAATAGTACAATAAGCAAGTTACCTGATGAATTGTTCGCATTAATTTTCGTGACCAATAATCAAATATATACAAAGAGAATAGACGTCGTATTAGAAATTGAACCCAGAATAAATTTATATACGTTCATTTTTCAATAAAGAAGATAGTTTTTATTTGATAATTGATATAGTTTGTAATTTTGTTTTGATTTGAATGCATTTTGCCGTCCCATTTGGTACTTTGTTATATTAAATAATATATTATTTTTACTTACATTGTGTAGTGAGTGTTATGGTTAATATAATATGGTCGATATCATTGGAAATGTTGACTTTATAATCCCCATAAAAGTCAGTTGAATTGATTTTAACAGTTAAAGTTGGCATAAATATATTAGTAGAATTCTGAATATCTACTTGTTGATACAGTGCATCGTTTATATTAATAGGTTTGTCCAGTCTATACCATGTAAATGTTGGTTGAGGATAGGCCAATATACTGGCAGACAGTTGAACTGTTTCAGATACATTACCAACAACTTTCATCACTGATTTAACTTTGGGGTATTGACGAGGGGTACCTAATAATAATAAAAAATATAAGCAAACTGCATAATATTGTTCAAATTGAGGACAAGCATATGGTATTATGCTAGGATTACTGATGAGGGTTTGGAGTACTAGGTGTTATAATTACAAACATCCAACAACTTCTCTTGATGACTTACCGTCAGTTACACGACACCAAAGATACAGATCAAACACTATTCTAATATTCTTTGACTAGATTCGAATTCATTTCTTTCATTTTAATTTCGTTTCGACCTCTGCAGATATTCACTACAAATATTTTCAGTATGTATATAAATAATAAAAAATATAAGCAAACTGCATAATATTGTTCAAATTGAGGACAAGCATATGGTATTATGCTAGGATTACTGATGAGGGTTTGGAGTACTAGGTGTTATAATTACAAACATCCAACAACTTCTCTTGATGACTTACCGTCAGTTACACGACACCAAAGATACAGATCAAACACTATTCTAATATTCTTTGACTAGATTCGAATTCATTTCTTTCATTTTAATTTCGTTTCGACCTCTGCAGATATTCACTACAAATATTTTCAGTATGTATATAAATGGTGTTAAGTATTATCAATTATTATTATAATTAATCATTAGACTAATAAAATTGATTATTGACTTACATAGTATATTTACATCCTGTGTTTTATTAACAGGTGTCTGTATCTGACTATTAACAGCTGTACATGTATATAATCCTGTATCTAGACAATCAGCTGTAGCTTTATAATAGTTCATAGAATTGGTGGTTAGTTCTTTAGTATTACTACCTGGTGTAGTCCATGTCATGGTAGCTATAGGGTTACTATTGGTAGAACACGACAAGTTAAACGGCTGACCTTCATCTGCATCAGTTGTATCAGATTGTATGATGACTGGATCCAGATCTGTAGATTATAATAGAAAAGGTGGATCTGAATTTAGAAAGTCAATTCTGAATCATTATTATTTAACAGTAAATAACAGACTTATCTGATCATTTAATGCAATACAAAAAAAAACAACCGAAAAAGAACAAACCAGAAAAGTGGGGCAAGGTTTGGTATAAAACAAAATTAATCATACCCTGTAGCTTGCAAATAAGAAACTCTTTTTGTCTGTAGCCCTGTATTGTTGGGGTAAGAACACAACTGTGTAGCACAATTAGTTAATTGTTACAGATAGGGACAGCATAATAATATAGCTAACTGTTAGAATTTCTCAATGTTTTCCAGATAGGAAAAGCATAATAAAATAACTAAAGGTTCGAACTTCTAAATTTGTCTCTAATAAAACAGTTAACTGTTAGAATTTATCATTGTTTTCAGATAGGACAATCTTAATGACATATTCAGTTAATTAGCCACTTACATCGTACATCAACCAGTACAGTTTTACTGTCTGTGTTAGTTTGTTGATTACCATTAGTAGGTTGTAATACTGTAATAGCTGTACAGTTATATATACCAGATTGATTTCTGTTGATATTATTTATAACTAAATCTTTATTATTAGATACTACACGACCATCTGGACCATAACATGTAATAGTTGATACTGGATTAGAATCAACTGTACAGGTTACAGTTAGACTATTTGATTCTTCTGTAACAACAGATTCACGTGATACAGATACTGTAGGTCCATCTGAAACACATATTTTAGATCTGTGGTAAATACATACAGGTAATGGTTAACATATAACAGGATATGGTTTATAGTGGCGTGGACGGAACATACGAATACGTATCAGGCTCTTCATCAGAGGCAGTCGCTGAAATATTTCCGATAGTTAGAATAAGACAAAAAGTAGATGAAAACGACAGTAAACGTTCATCTGGTTGGCTATAAGTACCGGTACCCTTTCTATGAATATCTATTGTTCTTGTCACTGAGTTGGTATTGTTAATGTTACTGTATTTGCGAGGTTAATATATTCCAACCTTGCCTAATTATTGTCTTATGTAACCAGTTGGAACTCTAGTGGTCGAGAAGTTCTGCAACTAGAATCCCGACTAATTTGTGAAAAATCGAGATATCCATCAAGCCCCAATTACTGACGGTTTCATACACTGGCAATTGAAAATCCAAGAAGAGACGACGAGAAAAGACCAAAGTAGTGTAAAATTCTGTTTTTTCAATCATATTGAACCAAACAAAATATTTACACATTTATGGCAATTACATGAAGACAGAGAACCAGATAAAAGAGAAGTGTTAAAGCATACTTACATAAAACATCAATTGTTGTTTGACTTGTAGCTGTACCTGTTTGTTGTGTAGACGTAGGTATCATGATATTAGTAGCTGTACATGTATAAACACCTGTCTGATTCCTCTTTATATCAGGTATATTTAATGTAGCACCAGTAGAAATATATCCACCAGATCCAGTCCATCTATAGCTAGTAACATTAGGGTTACCGGGGTTACCGGAACAAGTTATAGTTAATCCAGTAGATTCTAGTATTTTATATATAGGTGGTGTGGACACAGTAGGTGGATATAAAACATCAACTTGTACAGATGTAGATGTTCCTGTTCCAACTCCATTAGTAGCTGTACATGTATACTGTCCAGCTTGTGATCTCTGTACTGATGTCAGACGGAATACAGATGAACTTTGACCTGTAATACTGCCACCATCTTTACTCCAGGTAAAACTGGTAGGTTGTGGATTAGAATCTTCAACAGTACAGGTTAAAATCAGTTGATTACCTTCTATTATTTTATAACGACTGGTTGATGGTTCTATATGTAGTGTTGGTGGATCTGGAATAGTTTTAATATACAGTAAAACCAAGTAATAGAGAAACAAAATATAGACAATATGAATATTTTATACAGGTGAAGTTAAACATTTATCTTACTCTGTAACTCTATACATTCACATTCCGTGACCAAAAACACACATAGAGCATATTAAAATCATTGGAACTGTATACGGTGTACGTGGCTTTAATCTATAAATTTAAGACACAGAGGATATTTAATAACTGTTAAACTGTTATAAACACCACAAAACGCGTAGAAGGTATTGCAGAATTGTGTTTAAATGTATGGCTATTGTTCAAATGTAATTTGTGTCAATTATTGTAACCGGCAATTTATTGTATTAATTAACAACTGAGGTGGTGAATAGAGTGGCATAGATATATCCGGCTTTTGAGATCTCCACTTGCATTATGCTATGCCAGATAAATGATTACACCTCGAATCTGATATTTTATAAGGTAATATGATAACATTAGATTTCATGGCCCTAAATATTTGCCCGATTTTCGATTATAAAAATTAAAATACAAAAATATATTAAGTCTCATAGTAAACGTTCACGATTGTTTCCGTTTTAATATATTTTATATATAATAGGTTGTCAAAAACCTAACATCTTATATAATTTGTTTTAGTAATACTACAAATATTAATGGTACATCTTATATATTATAACTTACATCTTATATCAAGAGTGATATTATCGGTGTTACCAGTACCACACTGATTTTTAGCTGAACAGTAGAGTTTTTTATTGTTCAGTTGTTTGGTACCATTTAACTGTAAGATACTAGCTGTTCCACCATTTATAACACCACCCGTCTGTCCTGGTAGTACATTATCTGTTGAATCTATATACCACGTGAATGAAACTGTTGAATCTATAGTTCCAGTATAACATGTGACCTCTATTACCATACCATCAGTAAATAATAATCTACCTTTATCTTTGATTGTACTTGATGTTGGGGCTGGAATAATGATAAAATAGACCCAAATGAAATACTTGATGCTTGGGCTGAAATAATGATAAAAGAAAGTAACACCACTATACTGGTGCGGTGATGTATTATCTATAGAATCTATGTACCACGTGAATGAAACGTTTAAATCTGTGATCCCTGTATAAAACGCTACCATCTGTAAGGCATAATCTATTTTTGTCTTTGATTCTACTTGATGCTGTGACTGAAATAAAATAAAAAGTTAAGATGTAGACACACCCCCCCTCCTCCATAACACACGATACAAAATACACGTAGAAACAACCCCATAAAATATCACGCGACTTCCTTTGATTTGGAACAATGTAATAATAATAAACATGAATTCTCGCTCACCTTTAATCTTTAAATTTGTACTTCCCATTTCACCACTGATTCCACGTGTACACTTCCATTGCCCCCCATCTCTTATCAATGATGTACTGTTGATATATACAATACTTATACTAGTATCATTATTATAATCAAAGGTAATATTACAGCATGGTTGCTGATTACATTTGGTTGTACAAGTTGAAATCATGCCATTAAATAGTTTCCATTCAATAGTTTGTGGTGGTTTTACAGTACATGTTAAAGTAACTGATCTTCCCTCGCATACATCAGGCTGGTCTATATCTATAGTAACCTCACCTATAAATATATACATAGAATAGAACACGTTAATGTAACTGATGTTCCTCCACATACATCAGACTGATCTATATCTACAGTATCATCACCTATAAATATACACATAGTTACACATAGAATAGAACATGTTAAAGTAACTGATGTTCCTTCATATACAACAGACTTATTTATATCTACAGTAACCTCACCTATAAATATACACATAGTTACACATAGAATAGAACATGTTAAAGTAACTGATGTTCCTTCATATACAACAGACTTATTTATATCTACAGTAACCTCATCTATAAATATACACATAGTTAAACCATAGAACTAGAATACGAACGGGAACGCCCACCGTGTGACGTCACTACCTTATGTGACGGCCGGCCTCTGACGCTGATATCGGGCACAGCTTACTTTCGGTTTCTGCAGACACCAACTAAATGTCTGGCGCTAATTGTGTTTTGTAAGGATGTTCCGCCTGTAACAAAAGAAATCGGGGCTTATCTTTGCATCGTTTACAGAAAAACAACACAGAGTGGAAGGAGAAGCTTTTAAGTATAATACGATCTACCAGATCAGACCGGGTAAATGAAAAGACACTGACAATATGTTCAAGACACTTCGAGCCGGATTGTTTCGTTGAAAGTAAGTGAAAACCTCAAAAAAGAAATTAAATGTAGCCAAGTTGGCAGTTCACCCTTACAACTCACACTAAAATTATAATAAACCCATACTAGCGGGGTTTCTGTATTCTCGTGTCTGCCCGTTAATTTTTATCTTTTCTCTCATCAAAGTTGCAGGCTATAGGTTTGTTTACATTAGTTCCGTTTCGATATAACTTGCTAGTCTACTTGCAATTTGTTATGAAATTTGTTGTAGATCAATTTACCAGAGGGATTCCCCAACTACAGTAAAACGGTCTATATGAAAGCACGACTTTTCTACTATATCTTCTTTTATTTTAATTTCATGAATTATTAATTCATTTTGTTTAAAAAGTCCAATATAAATAAGGTAAAGGGATAAGGATGCGTGGTCAAAGTTTTAACTAGATCAGCTCCATAAAATTGTTTATTTATGACTGACCTTGACCTGTCAAATCCCGAGAGGGGTATTCCCCCAAATTCTTTTAATTTTACATTCAAATTCAAAATAATCTTGTTCCCCATTAATCAACAGCCACGGAAAAAAAACTACAATTATTATGCCTGAACCTTTTGTTTTGTTTTTGTGAACCTTTTTATTTTGATTTTATGAATTTTTTAGATGTTTACAAAAAATCTGGCTCTACTTATAGAAGATTAAAAGAAGGGAGTCTACCAATCTTAAATCTTCCACAGAAAAGCATAACAACGAAGAAATTGGATCCAAGGAAGCCAGCGGTAACTTAGTTTTCTATTAATAATACTATTATTACTAGATTGATTTTCATTGAATTGAGAGGACCACAGTAAGCTTATATGAATCTTATTTGAAATAAAACTTACTTTGGTGAAAATCGCTTTATGCCACCACGAGAATTACCAGTATTGTGACCTTTTCGGTATTTTCGCATCGTTGGTCCCACCCTTCCCCTCTTCCATATTAATTATGAATATGAATTTGAACATTCAATGCTTCCATACTAAATATCTATATATGAAAATTCAATTCATCCATATTAATTATAAATACTTGCATGAATATCACATTCTTCTTATAATATACTTTTATACATTTTTGATTTTATTCACAAATGAAGGAAATTATGAATATATGTATGACAATCCAATTCTTTTTGTGTTAATTTGATTTTATGAATTTTTCTATTTCTTTCAGAATCCTAGAAAAACCGAGGAACCATGTTTACATGTAAAAGAAGTGACCTTTCATATGTTGCAGCAATCATCTTTAGGTCAAATGCCTGCTTCGTGGCTATGTCAGTCTTCAGATGATTATATTTACTTATTTAAAACTGACGATAAAAGAATAAAATACCATTCAACCATTGATAAGGACATGAATTGTGAAGTACATTATAATACTTTTTTGTTTCCTGTTCAAATTTAAGTTACATCTATTGATTTACTTATAAGAACTGTTGAGAATATGAAGATATGTAGGGGCATAACATCAAAACAGTTACAGTCTTATTCTCAATGTCAGCCTACAACTGTAAGATATTTCAGACACGTTAATCTTTACATGAACACAAGTCAAAATATAAATTACGAAAGCTGTGTACGTGCTTCTGTATGTAAAGGTTTTGTTGAGGACACTCAAAAAGAAATTTGTTTAAGTTGTCGACAGATTAACAGAGATTTACAGAGAAAGTATGATTCCGATAACATATCATCAAGTATAACCATTTCCTCAAAAACTCCATTACAGTGTGTCAGCAAAGGAGTAGTGTCTAAAGCATTAAAGGAATCCCGTAGACGAGTGAAACATCTTAACAATCAATTACAGTCAATTCAAAAGAAGCTTGATCAAGAAAGTGTCAAAGTCAACGACGATTTACACGAATCATATCAGAGCCTTTTGTCAAATTATTCTGGCAACAGCAGAAATTAGTATTTTCTAAGGGGAATAGAGGATATGTGTGGCATCCTATGATGATACGACTGGCAATTTTGTTACATTCCCAGAGTCCAGCATCATACAGATCCTTCCGTAATATCGGCATTCTCCGTCTGCCAGGTGAATCTACACTTCGTGATTTCTCCAATTTTATCAAGCCTACACCAGGCTTTCATCAAGAAGTTCTCAATGAAATAAGACAGACAGCAGCCCTGCTTCTTGAGGATCAGAAGTGGATAACCAGGCTTTCATCAAGAAGTTTCAATGAAATAAGACAGGCAGCAGCTCTGCTTCTTGAGGATCAGAAGTGGATAACCATTCTTCACGACGAGATGAGTATCAAGTCAGATTTGGTCTTTGACAGAGAGACTGGTAATGTTGTTGGTTTTATTAACAGGTAAGTTGGTGTAAATAAATCTTTTTTTATACCCCCAATTGATCAGAGTTTAGGAGATTTGTCTTTCCCAATGATAATTAGCCATCTAATTTCTTGTATTTTTAATTGACTGGAATATTGTGTTTCTTGAGTTAAAATTTAAAACTACTGTCAGTTTGTTATATGAATTTCTTCACATTCCAAACATAAAATAATTGGAAAATGTTCTTCACTTGTATCAATATATATTTCAGTGCTAATGAATGTGGAAGTCTTTCACAGAATGTTGCTACACATTGTCTGGTTTTGATGGTTATTGGGGTGAATAGCAATTTAAAGTATAGTATTGGATGGTTTCCTACAAAATCAACCACATCTTCTGATTTGTATCCAATATTTTGGGAAGCTGTTGCTCATCTTGACACTTACTGCAATCTGAAGGTATCATTATGGAAATTTATTGTTAAACTTATAATGAACACTCATACAAAAAATAAGAATTAGCTTATTAGGTATCCAATGGCACTGAACTAATACATTTGGAAACCCAAATGAAAGGACATGTACTATGTAGTTATCACTCAGAATGACATTGTAACAATTAGCACCATTTTTATATTTACACTTATATTTGTCACAAAAAAGCTGTATCCTTTTAAGTAAAAAATCTGTACATAGGCGAACAGCCTTCCCAGATTTCTCTCAGCTACTAGTTTCGTTCTTATTCGAACTCTTCAGGCTTAAATGAGGATCTTTGGCACCGGAGTCTTTATTCCGAAAAGTGTGCAAAGATATTCGACTAAGAATTTGCCGTCATGATTATGCTTATTTGCATTGACTCGAGGCTCCTAACCCTTTTGATCTCTTAAGTTTAAAGTTTCCTAAATTTTTTATTAGCTTTAGCCGTAGGTGTACCACGGCTAAATTAATTGGGAACTTGCTCCTGTTTTTCATATTCGGCCTTGAGTTAGGCTAAGACTTAAGCTACTATTTCGCATACTTTGAAAAGTGGCTCTAGGAAAATATTTCTTTAATTCAACAAGGAGCTCACGAGGTTGTTTTTGCGTTTCTCGATTGAAACGTTGTAAGAATACCCAGTCTTCTTTACTGATGTTTGATTCTGCCAAATCATCGCGATTCGATGTGCGACAAACTGGCCAGGCCTCGAGTTCGAGACAAAGATCAACTCCTTCACAGAAAGCCTCCCAGTTACTCATGGTTGGAAAGGTACAGGACAAGGCGATCTGCCATATTTTACCTCCGTTGTCCGCCAATTTCCACAGATGTGCTTCATTTCCGAAAGTAGGGATATTAGTGAACGTCCCTATTGTGACGTCACGGGATACCTCTAAGGCTAATTGATGTCAATGCGCCAGGTATTTTTAGCGGAGTCGATGATACGAGTTCCAAAAATGGGATGCACACGAGAGAAATAGCTAACGGAATTTTAAGAACGTAGTGCAAAGGGGTCAGTAGGGAAAAGGAGTTTACTCTGTATCCTTTTAAATCAAATTTATGTTAATGATTTCTGTATTTGTAGGTTATAGCTAGTACATCTGATAAGGCATCTTCTAATATGAAATTTATTGCTCTTCATGGAGAGAGTGATATGGTATATAAAACAACTAATCCATTTTCTCCAGATAGAGAGATATTTTTTCTCTCAGATGCTCCACATCTTCTGAAGACTCTAATGAATAATCTATCAGCTTCAGGAAGAAATCAAAACACAAGATTGTTATGGGTGAGTTCATAGTTTTTGAAAATCGGGAATATTATATATTACCTAAAAGATTTGTTGAGTGGCATTAGTTGAAATCATTTAGTCTGATCACTTTAAATTTGATAACTTTGATTACACTCCAAATATCATTTTCTACCATTAAAGGGGTATTATGGTCCTGATAAGTCGGAACGATAAAACACATAGTCTTGGTTAACCATTTTTAGATTGACAAATTTGACAAAAAATGTATTCCACTCCATTAAATATCACAGGCTAGCGATGCCATCGAGGGTTGATCATGGTCTGGATAAATTAGTTAATGTCTAATTAATAATTAGATAACATTTCAGGCCTAAAGAAAGACCTCCAATAGGCAGATTTAGCTCTTGCATAATGTATGTTTAAGTTATAAAATTAAATCTGTATCAAAGTCTGATAGATCCATTGTTTTGTTACCTTTTATGGGGGCATGTGGTTGATGTTTATGAGGGAGACATGAAAAATGAGTTGAGCAAATCTACAAAACTGACTTACAACCACATTCATCTAACATCATTTTCCGTCATGAAGGTGAACCTTGCTGCTCAGGTAAGCTTTTTTGTAGATATTAAATACAATACTAAAAATTTAAACATTTTGCCAAAGTAATCAATAAATGTGCCCTATTTATAATCATGCTTTGATTATATTTGTGTTTTCCAGGTTTTAAGTAGATCAGTTGGATTGATTATAGAGGAATATGGTGGGGAAGCAGCTACAGAAACAGCAACATTCATCAAACTAGTTGACCGTTTTTTTGACTGCTTAAATGTTATAAATTTACATATTTTTTTTAAAGTTCCGATTATCCAATAAAGTCGTATTTCAAATATAATTACCTATTTTCTTTTCTTTTTTGCAGCCAAAGCTGTTGTTGAAGCCACAAAGTTTCTTATTCAACATGGCGTCAAATTTGTGCTGACAAACAAATTCTGTCAGGATCCTGTTGAGGAACATTTTGGCCAACACAGGGCCTTGGGGAGACGGAGTGATAATCCAACAATATATGAATTTGGGTAAGTCCTCCCCCACCCACAATATTTATTTTATTTTATTAATGTTCATTTCAAGTTTATTGTATATATGATTATAGTATACGACAGTTTCTGTCTGACCATCACACATGCATGAAAACATCCCGTCGAGAAACTACAATAACAAACATTATTTTTACAAGACTAGCATTGTTTTAATTGTTTTTTTATATAATGTATTTTTAAATTACAGTTACCAAGAAAATAAATTTCGGTTACAAAGAAGTCTTGCTCTTCAAATAAAACCAAATGGAAACCAAAAAGAAGCAGCAAACACTGTGAAATTGATATTGATGAGACTCCTTTAAAGAAGAAGCGATGCAACACACACGTAACACCCAAGACATAAACAGAAGCTTGTTATTACACGTTTGTTCCTGCAAATCCCATAGCCATTGGTTTAATACGCCCAGATTTTCATGTGAAGTGTTTTCGCTTTTTGTTTGTGGACACTATGGGTCACAATTTTTTATTCCATTTTGACGAAACTTAGCCATAAAATGGTATAGAGTTCATTATGAGTGTCATTTGAATAAATGTCTAAATAATATTATTTTTTAAACATGAAATAAATGGAGTTGAATGTTCTCATGCTCTGTTCCGATCGGGCTAATGAAGATGGCATACACCAGCAACAGGCAGATTTGGCTCTTACATAATGCATTTTAATACATATTAAATAATAACAAAATCTTATGTCATTTTCAGTTTTTTTTCAACTCTGTTCTAAGACCCTTGGACATTTTTGATTTTTTTTCCCTTTGGTTTCCTTGACAAATTTTTGTAACATGTGTTTACATTTATGATGGACTCGTATTATAAAATACATGTTGATACACAATGTCATACATTCTTTTAAATCCCTTTCATCATAAAATTATGTTTGAGTTGTACATGATGGCGCATTCAAAAAGTCTCTCGTTATCAATTCATTAGAATTACAAGCATTGAGGAACTCAAGTTTTGACAATTCTAAATTAATCTGCTCACCTGGATACATTCTACAGAAACAAATTTCTAAACCCAAGAAGAAATCTGCTGATTTTTGAGTAATATATGTAAGCCCTCCCCTATCAAATAACTTTACAAGTTTTGCATTTGGATCTGATGTAATCTCTTTATCAATTTTTAAAGCCTTAAGTATTGTGTAAATATGTTGTTTGTCTTTTTTAATTGCTTCTTTATACAGTTTGTGAAGTAGTTTACTAATAATACTTCCAGCTATATAAAAGATAATTTCCTTCTCCCCAGAACTAACAGCCTTTACCTCAGTAATTTGTTTACAATCTGGCTTAGATATGTTGATTTTTATCAATAATTCAAAGTATACTGAGCGCCATGGAAAACGCATCACTTAGTTTTTCGTATAACAAAATGATCCTGTAAACATATCTTATTTATTTTGCTTCTCATTGTGAACAATGTTCAAATGGGAACACATCAATAACAACACATTTGTACACTTATGGATGTTTAATCTGTAATCAACGGTACAAAGTCAGAGGGGTCAAAAACCAAAAGTACGACACAGATGTCAGTAGCGCGTGTGTCCTCCACGGGCTCTTACGCACGCTGAGCAGCGACGTCGCATGGAATTTACCAATGTTTGAAAGAAGGCCTGGGGAAAATTGTTCCATTCTTGGACAAGAGCAGCTCTCCCGTCAAACGGCAAAACCTAGTAACTCACTTTTGTTTTATCAAAATTGAGTTAGGATGAAATTTGTAGTTACTAGGGTATATGCTTCCTGTTGTTGTACTAGATATTCCAATCTTTTGATTTTGTAAGCAGTTACAGCCATGACACAACCTAGCGACTTCCTTCCTTTGCCTAGTATACCACAGCAAAACCTAGTAACTCAATAGTCAAATCAATGGATGAGCTGGGGTTTAATATTCATTCATACCGTTTTCCATTGTTTTCTCAAAATAAGATAAAAGTGAGTAACTAGGTTTTGCATTTTGACGGGAGAGCTTCTAAAGCAGCAATGGTGTGCATATGTGGTCTCCGATACAGACGGCGTCCAATCTCATCCCAGTCATGTCCTATCTGTTCCATGTCCGGAGACATGGCTGGCCAGTCCAAGACATTGATGTTGTTAGCAGCCAAGTAGTCCATACTAAAACGGGCGGTATGCGTACGTGCATTAGCCTGTTGGAAGTGCTGAAGTTGTGGGTGCGCTCGAAACATCGGAACAACAATTGGTTGCAAGACATCATCACGGTAGGTGTAGGGCTGTCCGGTGATGAAATGTGAAATCTCCCCACACCATTACACTTCCCCCACCCCATTGATTCGTTTTGAAGACGCAGCAGTCTGGAAGACGTTCCCCAAGACGTCTCCACATACGTTGACAGCCATCAGCGTGATAAAGATGAAAGCGACTCTCATCACTGAAGAGCACACTTTGCCAGTCTACTCTTCTCCATGTCTGGTGTCCTTGAGCCCATATCACACGCCGCTGACGGTGATGATCCCTGAGGATAGCTCCAACATAAGGTCGTCGTGCACGGAGTCCTACTTCTCTTAGACGACGTCTTACGGTATTGGCACTTACTGATCCTCGTCTTCCGACGACTGGTGCACCTGTTCGAGTCGCTGGGCGGAATCTGTCACGCAGATGAGTGACCCGGATGTAGCGGTCTTGAGCCTGGGTTGTAACGCGTTGTGGACCAGGACGTTGACGGTCACGTGTTGATCCAGTAACTCGAACACGTTCCACCAACCTTACAATAGTGGACTGATGACAATTGAAGTGTCTGGCAATAGCACGTGTAGACATGCCAGCCCTGGACATTCCCATGGCTTCATTCCGTTGATTTTCAGTAAGTCTCGGCATCTCTAGCTCGATTTCTTCACACGTCCAACAACAAATTACGACAGATTGACGTTTCACAGTTCATGTACTGCACATTAAGTTGAAAACATGCTTTTAAAGGGCTCACACACAATGCTGCACGCGAATATTGGGTTTTTCATGTGCATCTCGTGCAATTTTTTGTGTGCACACGGGCCGATATTTTTGCGTTTGGGAGCATTGTGTGAAACAATAGTTCATAGTATTGCATAATATTATACATACAAAATCACCTAGTAATAAAATATTTGGGAAAAAAAGTGATGCGTTTTCCATGGCGCTCAGTATATTTTATTGATAAAAGTAAAATGAATTGTTTGTTTAGTTTGAAGTTTTCTGCGATTTCCATAGCAGCACAAGGTAGTGATTGGTGAAATTCACGCCAACCCTTTTCTGCTCCTGAGTCTCGATTCATGGACACAAAAATAAGACTACTAAACTTTGATTGTAGCGATGAATTCAGAGAAGACACTGCAAAAGTAAATAGCATCAATAATAGTTTATTTCACATGTATGGCTACATAGCACATTGCATATTCAGATTTTGATTAAAAATATATAATTAAAGTTATCAATATTTACATACTTGTAAATGTATTTTACAATTCACAAACAGCTTAGTAATAATGTATAGTTTCCATATAAACCAGCAAAAACTGATAGAATAATATAATCATGTGGTACCAATTTGAATAGAATATAGATTTAAATTCATTTGTTTATTTATTTATTCTAATTGACTCCACTCCACATAGATGAGAAGTTATAGGGTTAAACTTTGATCAATGATGTCTGGTATTTTATTTACTGTACTTTGCTGCAAGTACTTCACAAAATGTGGGAAACAAATAGTCTAATTATACAGATAATTTCCTAGAACAAATAGAAAGTTCCTGGCTCTGTTGGAATTAATATCAATATTGGAAGTATAAAAAAACCCTGATTGAATCTAGAATTTAATCAGCGGCGTTCTACTAATTGTTTATTTCTTGTTATTACATACAAGGCCCCAAGTTCACAAAGCATTCTCAGTCTTGAGTTAAGATTTTGCTCAAAATTGTTCGTTTTATTTTGACTAAAGTATATCCCATTATAAAACTTTTGTTGTTTTAATGTATCAAATACTTTAAAGAGTCATTATGTGAGATTAGATAAAGAGTTGACAGTTCTCGCTATAATAGTTAAAAATAGATAATGTAAGTAGAATATGCTGAAAATTTCAGTAAAATTACTCCACTCTAATCAGAGATATTAGTTTTTGAATTTTAGGCCTAGCCGCAATCATCATTACATAGTCTTGGTTATCCATTTTTAGATTTAATCATTTTTCGTTTTCCAATCCGCTAAATATATCGCAGGCTAGCGATGCCATCGAGAGTTGTTTATGGTCTGGATAAGTTAATTAATGTCTAATTAATAAATTAGATAAAATTTCAGGCCTAAAGAAAGACCTGCAATAATGTTTGTTTAATAAGTAACAGCAAAGTTATGTGTTTGCGCATCAATGATATTTCCCATAAACAGTGATTGAAAGTTAAGTAAATTTTTAAATTAAGTATGAGAATGCTTTGAGATTTTGGGGCCAGGTTGATAATTGTAAACAAACTATATATACCGAGATGCAATCAAATAACACCTCTGATGTGACATGCCATAAATTTGCACGTCCACTAGCTTTTTAAAAGCAGCATTATATACCCCACGTGTATACCAGAAAAATCAACATTCTGATTCTGTTCAGTTTAATTTTTGTTTTGTTTGAGAATTGTTTGGGGGTGCGTTTACACAATCTTGAAACCATTCTCACATGTTATCACCATAATCTGATGTTGTTACTTTCAGAATCGCAAGATTAATGCAAATCTTGAAAACAAAATTGAGCAGAAAAGTACTAAGTAGGAGTAGGACGCTAAACCTGGATTCAATCCAAACAAGATTTGCAGTCATCCACTGATATTGAAATGTGGTGGGTTTTTTTTATTGCCATCTCAGTATAAAATAATAACAATGATAACAAAATTTATACAACTTTTATACAGGTACACTACCTGTAATGTGTTGGATTTATATATGTATTATATTATTATTAAATGGATTTTTTGTAGATTTCTATTTGCCTTGAGCGTTTAATGGTCATTATCTGTTAAATTCACAAGTGTTTTTTTTCACAAGCATCACTGTCATGTGAATAAAATATCTTTGAACAGAGTCTTGGATCATTGCAACCACATATTGTTGTTTTTGTTTTTTATATTAGTTATCTTGAATAGTAATTTAACTAATTGTTCCAAATGATGATAAACTTATAGTAGAAAATGCACAGGCAGATACATGTACTGATGAACAGTTTTGATGTATAATATTCCGTGTTGGGGTTAAACTCGATTGAGGTTCGGCAAACCCTTGAGATCATGTGAACATCAGATCATTTTTCATATAACCACTACTTGAACTTTCTCAGTAATTTTAGCTGAATTAGTTTGAACCTTAAAAAAGAAAATAAATAACAATGGAAACAACGTAAATGAAAACAAACAAAACCAAATAGCTACGAATTAAATTTACCATTGTAAATCTGTACACAAACAAAGAAAGGGTTGGAGGTTTTAATTTTTCTCACAATTCCTTCTAATTGGGAGCTTGATACCAATTTGATACAGTTCTTTAAAACAAATATTATAATATAAAAAACTGTTTGAAAGCAATTTCATGTTTGCGAAATAGTCAGATATATAAAAGTTACACATCATGTGTTTCAAAACTTCTCCATTTGCTACGAACACTATACTCGACTAGACCTATAGACTATAGACAAGAATAAACTTACGGATGCTACTGGAACGACAGGTTGAGACGTCTCGAAAAAATCTTCAGCAAAGAAAAGCTGTAAAGAAAAACATATATATGTAGTTTTATAAACAAAATAAGGGCACGGGTAAACCACTGCTATAGTATAAGTATAAAGCCAAAACTGGCACGGGCATGCCAAAGGCTGACAACAATCCAAAAGAATACATGTAAAAAAAAATAAAGGCCTTAAAAATGTGAATGTCATAAAAATAATTATTATTAATAATAGAGAAAATGATGCAAACACACGCGTGTGTGAGGATAATTTAACGTCCAAAAATGAATGGTTTAAAATCCTGATGGTATATTACGTACCTAATTTTATAAAATTCATTAAAATTATGAAATAACTTACATCTATTATACCGTCAGGTTCTCGAAATTCCAGGAGGTTGAATGCTTCTGCCATGTTGACAGACGGCCGGAAGTTATTTGTGCCGTATTGACTTCGCGCATGCGATGTACAACATAATTATGTCATGACCGTTATACGTCATCCATTGGGCGTTCCCGTTAGTATTCTAGTTCTATGGTTAAACATAGAATAGAACATGTTATCTAAACTAACATCACCTCTAAATATCAACATAGTTAAATATAGAATAGAACATGTTAAAGTAACTTGTGTCCCTTCACATACATCAGACTGATCTATATCTACAGTAACATCACCTATAAATATACACATCGTTACACATAGAATAGAACATGTTATCTAAAACTAACATCACCTATAAATAACCAACATAGTTAAACATAGAATAGAACATGTTAATGTAACTGATGTCCCTTCACATACATCAGACTGATCTATCTCTACAGTAGTTTAACCTCACCCCCCCCCCCCCCCCACATCTGATTGTTTTGATAAGAGATTAGGTGGTTACTGGACTGTGGGTGTAGGACTATAGTCTGTTCTTATTAATTAGTGACACCGGTGTAAACTTCTCACTCTTATGTCACTGTTCAACGGGGTCACGGTGGCTATGTGGGTAAGACGCTCACATAACGCCGTTTGGAAAGATACAATGACATATAGTCTGTTCTTATTAATTAGTGACACCGGTGTAAACTTCTCACTCTTATGTCACTGGTCAACGGGGTCACGGTGGCTATGTGGGTAAGACGCTCACATAACGCCGTTTGGAAAGATGATATATTTTTTAAAGAGTTACCCGTTTTCTATAGAACATTACTGTTAGTATAGAATAAACTCAATGACAATTCTAGACCAAACCTTTGTAATACTTATGAAGTTTCATGCCAGCCGTTATTCTATAATCTATTAATAATTAATAATGGTAGAAAATTGCATTTTAAATTTTTTAAACTGTCTTATATGTAAAATATATGATATAATATATTATGTGAAGACCGGTTTTGTACCTGTACACACTATTATTGATATTATCACTCCGAATATCTTGATTACGATATGGATAAGATAACTAATATAATATTATATTATTATCTATACCACAGTAGACATTATTAATAATGAATGTTATACCGGAAAGAATCCAGCGTATACATTCAATATTACGGGTAAAGTTATACTACCCGAACAACTCACTTCAAAATTATGTTATAGCTTACTGTTAGATCCTTTTTTTTTCTAGAACCCAAGTGTATATCATTGTATGAAAATCTTAATTTCAATGTCCATTGGAAAAGTGTCTGGAAAAATATATTTCTGTGTTTTAAGGATCTTAAAATGGTCAAATTAGATTACAATATAGTATGGACAAAGTCCAAATTACATAAAATTGGTAAAACGGATGATGAATTGTGTCCTGTATGTAAGGTTGAGACTGAAGATTTACAGCATTTATTTATTGAATTATTTACTACGTAATTTTAAGTCCAGAATTAAATAATTTATTAATGATTTATTAATAGGTGATCCTGATTTTAACACTTGCTTTTTACTGGGAATGCAGTCTAAGAACGATTCACATCCTAATGACCTGTGTAATCAGATATTTAGATATTTAGATGTATTGGACTTTATATCTATAAACGTAAATATTGTGAGAACAATCGGCTAAATTTTACTCAAACTTTCATTAAACTATCTCTATATATAAGCTATCAATTAAAGGGCATAATAACTGTTGACTTGTGAATGTGTAACCAACTGATATCTACTAACCATGTTCGTTATTAAAATATCCTATTAGAAAAGGGAGATAATCAGAATTAAATATTAATCTTGTACTTTTCGGAATAACTATTTATCTCGAAACTTTTAAGCCTTCCACCCTTCGAGAATAGGTTTCCTCCGAACGCTCATAGTCGATTTGCAAATCTTAAATAGTTCTTTTATTACTTTGTTGTTAGAAATCTTACTACAAGTCTGAATTCTAAAGAAATGGTATTTTTTTTTTTTTTAAATTTTAATTATGTACATAAAACTGCTTTTAACTTATCTTATTTATTGTACCATTCATGAATAAACATTAAAATTTTGTAAAAAAGAAACTAAAAATAAACGCTGGCTCGTTAGCCTGGGGGTCGGGTGTTCGATCACTGCATTGGCCGATAAAGTTCATCCAGAATTACCGGCGTGGTCCTCCTTACCAGTGATGGAGGGCGGTAGGGCTGACAAGGGCAGCTGTCTAGTCGATCGGATGGAACGAAAAACCGGGGTCCCGTGTACACATTTGCGTGCAAGTAAAAGATCCCTTGACAGATGGAATTGGATATAAGAGTTAGCCGTAGTGCCGGTGACGGGCAAAATTTTCCAATAGCACACTGTATGGCGTATGCCCGCCTTCATTAGCCCAGGTCGGAGCAGAACAGTAGGACGTTAAACACCTATTTCATTTCATTTGTCACTGGTGAACACTTCCCACTATCAGTAGAAGCGCAAATTGGTGAAATCAGTTTACTTATAAACTTAAAGTTTGAGCTGTTTTGATGTAATAACTAATTTGAAATATAAACAAATAAACTACTGATATTTAATCAGTCTATTTATTTATTTATTTTTTAGTCATTCGTCAGTTTAATATATGCATTGATTTATTTAATCTAACAATGCGCGTATTACTTGTTATATATTTATTATATTATATGTATTAATTTGTATATTATTAAAATTATTGGAAATGGTTTAGCATGAGAATCCACATTATCTGTATTTTTTACATGTAATCTTTTTTTACTAAATATTGTTTAAATGATTTTGTTTACAGTATTAGATGTATAATTTGTCTATTTTAAACTCAAAAGCTCGAATAACACTGAATGATACAGCACGCTTTAAGCCGGACTCACAACCCGCCGTACGCGTTTGGTAGCTCGCAGACCTGCCGCAAAAAAAACCGGGTGAAATTTTTGCAAAAAATTCAGATACAGTACTTGCCACGTACAGACTGCACGTCTGACTTATTCAAAGGGTGGGGAAAACATGCTCCTCGCAGAGTTTCGTTTGATTAGAGCTAATCCCACTTAACGCTGCTTTAAGGGAAGCAAATTTCTGTTCAAACTTATGACTGGTCAATAGTGCGATTAACAACCAATAGCTGAATGAGTAACAATACCATTACGCTTTAAACAGAGCTCCAAATTTGACCAAATATGTCTACATAACGTTACGTCATGATTCACGATTTTATTATGCCCAATTTGCAGACAAACTAAATGGGTGACAAACCAGACTATCAACACGGATACAATGTAAACAATGCTGTGTGGAGACGAACACTACTTTCATCGTTTTTAATACCTTAAATCACTGTCTAAAGTCTTAAGCAAGACCCCAGATTAAACGAAAGGCTGTAAAGTTGCTGTTCTTGTGATAGATTTGATTGAACGGGAAGAACAGACACACTTCCGCAAAAGCTCAAGTATCAGAAGCCAATCCAGCAATGGCCAGAGGGGGATTTTTCGGGGCATTGCTTCAGGAATATGGAAAGCGTAAGTATGACGTACGTTCTCAGAGCGACAGAAGTGAGTGTGGAGTACGCGTGACTTAAAATTAACCAATTTCGTGCAGCAAAAGTGCGGTATGCACTTTGTATGCACGTGGGTAGCACGTGGCAACTACGCCAGTAGTGCCTGTTAATGTTTTGTCTCTGATATATAGACCAAAGAAAATTGATATTTTTATTTAGTTTAAAGAGAGAGAGAGAGAAATGGGGTTTAACGTCCACTCGACACAAACTAGGTCATTTCGGGATTAACATATGGTTTAATTTTATTTCAACAATTCGCTTGCGCGTAGGGGTCTTTAGCAGTGGGAGGAAACCGGAAAACCCGGAGAAAACCCACGAAGTTGGACAGGCGACCCTACTCCTTGTCACGTACAACCGGAGAATCGAAACCCCGCCAGTTGACTCAATGACAGACCGTATGATACAGCACGCATGCTAACCATTCGGCCATCCAACCCCCATTTAGTTTAAAATGGGACCAAAGAATAAGGTCTCAAAGAGTAAGTTGGCTGTTCCTTCAAGAGGAAACAGACATTGGAGCACCCATACGCAGAAGTCTTCTTGATCGATATGTATCAGCCGCTTTGGGACCTGGCACACGCGTACAGGTAAAAAGTTGTGTAGAGTCAGGAATCCTTAGACCACTCTGGTGTACGAACAGGCTGCCAGCTGGATTGGCCGAATAGGTGGCCAATTTGTGTTCGGTTAATATCTGTCACGTGCCAGCCATGTGGCTTAAATTGTGTCACAGTGTCCAGTTTAGAAACTTAATTTACACAAACGCGTTGTATATTATACCTTCAAAACACCGTAAGTTCTTGTTCTTAATATCATAATAAAGATTACCTTTCATCAGATTTTCTGCCAAACGGCGAAACGATCACAAAATACAGCGCTAAACTTGCTCCAAATTTGTATGTTTACTATAGTGACCAGTGAGCGTGTCGAACCAACTAAGTCACTTCCGGTATTAATAAAAATTAATTTCTCGCTTGCAAATTATTTTTTGCATATGTTATAGAAGGGATTATTTCTAAATATATATTTATTATTTATGGAAACCTTATTGAAAATCGTTGGTCTTCCCCTTTAAGTGCAGGGTAAAGTGACACCATCTTGTTGTAAGTGACACCATCTTGTTGCAAACTAGTCTCGACAACAACAAGGCTGAACATATTATTTCCAAACACAGAATAGTGGTCCCTTGGATAAAAAAGTCAAAAATAAACTATATTACTACAATACACTATTTCACTGTCAATACCTCTTTAATTCGTACATTCGCGTGTTATTATGTAAACGAAAATTTCAGTTTCATAACTTTCTTGCCCAATCGCGGTTACACCTACAGACCAAACGATAAAACGTGAGGACAGCTACTATCTCTCTATTGCTACTCTGATCAATGTTGTATAGTAGTCGAGTCTTAGATTTTCGAGTTGCTTTCCTATGTCCTTGTAGTGTGAGATTTCCATGTCCTTGCTACCACGCGGTTGGGATGCGCCATTTTCGTTTTCAATCTTGAAAATGACCCTTCATATCATTAGGCGAGTGAATCATCGTTAAACTGACAACGCTTAGGA